AAAATTTATATTATCCTGTTTTAAACATCTGTGACTGACAACAAACCCTGAATTCCCCTCCCCCAAAAAACCCCTGAATTCCCTATCTGCACCAACAAGAATCCCAACGACCACACTGTCTTTCCTATGGAGATAACTGCTCACTAATAGGACTGGCACTAAGCAATCTTCAGACCTAAGAGACATGCTTATCTTATCAATGTCCGTAAACTTTTGCAATCCATGCTTCAAATTAAAAAAATACCTTAAACCTTTACTTATATGTAAATTTCAATATGATATAAATATATTGACAAAGAACCAAGTAAAACAATGTAATATTATTGAATATTAATATGAGTTCTACCTTTAAGAAAGCAAGGATGATAAACTGTTATAGCAAAATCACATGAAAATGCAGTGGCTCTGCTGTGGCTAGAATGTTGGTGTTTCCCCAGTATCTTTATGTAAAACCAAATGCTCAGGATAACAGCAATGGGAGGTAGATCCTTTAGGGGGACACTGAGTGTGGAACCTGGCGAATGTCATCAGTACCCTCATACAAGAGACCCAAGGAAGCTCATTGTCCTCTTTCACTACTTGAGGAGACAGGAGGTTCTAATAAGTCATCAACAGGAACTATCCTTGACTTCTCAGCTTTCAAATATGTGAAAACAAATTATTGTTGTGGTTACTTTTTTCTTGACTCTTTTGATTCTTCGCTCTTTGGGGGCTCACCACTCAGCTCCCAAATAAATCACATGGAGGTTTATTCCTTTTTATGAATGCCTACTCCTAGCTTGGCGTATTTCTAGCTAGCTTTCCTTAACTTAAATTATCCTGTCTATCTTTTGTCTCTGGGCTTTTTTTTCCTATTCTATATACCTTTCTTTGCTTCTTATTCACTGGCTGGTTGTGTGGCTGGGTGTCTGACCCCGAATGTCTTCTCTCCTTCTTTTCTTGTTCCTTGATTCCCTCTTCCCAGATTTCTTCTCTTATTTATTCTCTCTGCCTGCCAGTCCCACCTATTCTTTCTGCTGGCCAGCTATTGGCCATTCAGCTCTTTTTCAAATCAATCAGGAGTTCTAAACAGGCAAAGTAACACAGTTTCACACAGTTAAACAAATGTTGTATAAAAGAATGCAGCACATCTTTGCATCATTTAACAATTGTCCCACAGCATAAACAAATGTAACACATCTTCAACTAATATTATACAACACTTTTGTTTTTAATTTACCAACTTATGATATTTTGTTGTAGAAATGTAAAGGGATCAATACAGGCTCCATCAAGTTATAAGTTCCCCTTTAGCAGTTCAGAGGCAGGCAAGTTGTCCAGGATGGATGAGTGACTCTGGCCAAGGTCCAAGAATGATCAACCTTATATTCCATTGTTTTCAGTATGTGGTCCTATGCTTGTTGTCCCAGCTGCTTCTATCATGCCTTCTAGGTCATAGTAAGGATGGATCAGAGAAATGGGAGCTACACAGTTTATTTTGAAGATTGTGAGGAGGAAATTGTCCATATCAATTCTCACATATCATAGGCCAGAATTTTCTCGTATGATCATGCTTAAAACTATAATGGCTGTTAGGAATTATGCTCTTTCTCAGACTATTTCTGTGTATTTCCAAAACTGTGATGGTTAAACGATTACTAAAAGGCAGAACAGAAGAGCAGCTATTAGAACAAACAGAAAAAGCCAAGAATAGCTAGCAGAGTTTTGGTGACTGATTTCATGAAAGTTCTGTCCTATCTTTAAACAGAATGTTAGTTGTGTCCTGAAGTCCTGATTATTACACTTACTTTTATATTTATTTACTGTGACATAATGAGTGCAAGTTCAACATTAAAGTGAATTTGATAATGAATACCACATGATTTTACTGTAGCCTCATGAAAATACAGTATTATGATTTTTAAAGCAATTCATTGCAAATTTTACTGTTGATTTTGCAGTTTTAGAATCTCTTCTTTATTCACAAGCATTCAAGACATGTATATCTTTTCATATTAGTTTTAATTTTTCCTGAGTAATATTTACTTGAATTTAGTGTGACTGATCAAGCTTTTGATTCTCTTCTAAAATGAAACTTAAATAATAGTCTGGAACTCAAGTCAGCATGATACAAATTGTGGATGTTCGCAGATATGAGATCCTAGACCACCTTTGGTCTCTCTTCTGTCACTGAAAATCTGGTTCCTTTTCCTAACTTAGTATCTAATATGGTACTCTTTATAATCACATTCAGAGTGAATACTCAATACTCTCTATAATTAATTCAGAGTGATACTGGTTGCATGATTGATTACTATGGCCAGAACCTATCAGAACTGTCTTCTTTCTCCTAGATAAAAGTGAGTTTTTGTTGATGTTTATTCAACAATATAACAGCTTATTTCAAATGAAAAATAATGTATTAGTAGATATGGTGCATAAATATAAAATATCAATTGTTAGATTTTCAAAAATACTTTTGTTTTTAACCAAAACAGTGCTTAGTACAATAGATTCTTAGTAAGTGGGACAAAGAAATACATTTTTCAGCAATAGGCAAGAAAGGAGACCATAAGTGTCTGGCAATCATTCTTTATTTTAGCATTAAAAGACTTACTACATGGAAATATTTCTCTTTCATGATTCAAAGAAGACACTGCAATGTGTAATTTCAATAAATCTTGGTTTGAGAAATATAATTTACACAGATATAAAAGTTTTAAATAATTCCCCAATTGTTATTCTATTTTTGAACTGGTAACTCAATAAACTTTTGCAGAACCTTACAGCCTGGTAAGTTTGTAGGACCTTCATAAGCTGTGTTTTTTACTCTATTGTCTTTCTGGATTTTGCACAGAAGAACTTTATGGGAAATTATAGAACCCCCTGATAGATACTAATGAATATTACAGAAACAGCATAAAATATCTTTCTCTTATTGATGTAAAAATTAATCTATTAGTTTGGCAGTGGTTATCTCATTCTTTCTCTTTCAAAGAATGATTCAATTCTTCATTTTTCCCAGGGTTCTTTGTAGTAAGCCATGTGTATTGGCAATAGATGCATGTGTTTCCCCTTTTTCTATCTCCCAAACATTTTAGACTGTGTTTGATACTAGCAATTGATTTAAAATTAGCTATTTAATAACATGTTTATTTTGATACATAAAATCATTGCCATTTGTTCCTTAATTCCTTATTGTTATTAGCATTTATACATCTTAATTCTTCTATACCAATGTGAAATTTATTGATATTTCCCCCAAAAAATATTTGTAACAAATTTTAGCATTTGGAAAAGCTTCTCAACTATGAGAATAGGCAGGAGTAGGAAAGATGCTTATTATTTTTTCTGGACAGATTATAACAGATTTATTTTACAAACCGGTCTCTTCAATCAGTCCCCAATTCCACAAAAGTTTATCTAATTACACACCTACTTAAAAGAAAGTTTGATGGTAAAGGTAGTAGTTTTAATGTTTTTGAACAAATAGCCTGGACTTTCTAAACAAAATTCTTCTAAAATAAAATAATAAACAAAATAACTTCTAAAAAAGTTAAAGATTAGAATTGACTTTTTAATGTTTTCCTGTTGAAATAGAATAAACTGGCAATAATACCTAAAGAGGGTGAGTGATGTTTCTCTGCTCCTAAATCCTCAGCTCACACATTGGCACCAATTTTTATGAGTTTTGAGTTGTAGGAACACTGTAGTTTGTTATATTGCTCTTTGTACTGTTTTGTACATTGTATTCCTTACCCCACCCAGGAAAAAAAATCAACAGCTCTGCCCCAAATCCTTAGAGTGTCTGGGGAAAGAGAAGGCTAGGTTAGATGGTGCCCACTTTGCTGGAGTGATACTATAGTCTGTGTGATAGGCACAGAGAATGGGGAAGGATGAGTTTAGTGCTGGTTCGATTAGAAGGCAGAAATAAAGCACTGACTAGAGCATGCACTAGGAGACTTTCTGCCCAGTAAAGTGTTTTAAAGGAATAATCTATCTGTCCAAAAAGTGCATAAATGTATTCTGTACATTTGACCCTCTCCACAAAAAAAAAAATATGCTTTTCCATCTAGATTTTGGTGTTTGTCCTTTTGTGTTGCAATTTTGTTTGTTTTTGGTTTTTGGCAGGGTTTCTTTGTGTAGTTCTGGCTGTCCTGAAATTCAGGCTAGCCTCTAATTCTCAGACATCCTTCTGCCTCTGTCTCCTGAGTGCTGGCTGGGATAAAAGGCATGTGCCACCACTGCCAGGTTGGTGCTTGTCCTCTTTTAATAGGTTGTTTCTAGAAATGTGTTGCCCATTCACCTGGTTTATATTTTTTCATGAACACTGTAAGTGGGAATCACTTCCCAAGAAAGAAAGGGACTTGAATTTTCCTTAATATTAAGGTGCTTTTGAGGATGAAAAGTGGAGTTGGTTTTGGCTCTTTGCAATTCCATTAAACTCCTCCCCCGTGTTTCTAAGGTTTGCTCATTATAATTGTTAATTATAGTTTTTAAATTCGTTTTTAACAGCAGGATGTGAGCCTGACTCTAAGAGCCAGCAGCAGGCCAATGAGCTGGGTGAGCAGGAAGAGGGTCTCTGGGGTTGGACTGAGCCTGTCTGGAGTTGGTGGAGGGGAGCGCTCTGGAGGGGTGGCACACACTGCAGTGACAGTCCCTCCCAAGGCTGGCTGAGGCACCTCACTGGTGACGGGTCTGAAAGCACGTGGCTACGTCATGGAAAGCCAGTCTTTTCAATGCAAACTTCAACTCCTCCTCCCTCCAATGCCTGTAACTCACAGCCAAGGCTGGGCGAGAAATACGGAGGAGAGATTTTCCTCATGCTCACGGTGCCTGGAGACTGGAAGGAAGAGTGTAAGGAAGGAGGAAGGAAATTTGTGGCGCTTTCTACCTACTACGAGACTGACAAGGGGAGAGGGGATCTACATTACATTTTCTCTTCGTGATTAAGAACTGCAGTTTCAGTCCAACCCCACGGAGCTCTGGTGACTGCTTACTAAAAAAAAAAAAAAAAAAAAAAAAGAAAGAAAAAAAAACAAAAAAAAAGAAAAAAAAACCGAAAAAAAAATTGACCGCGGGAGAGAGAAGGCTCAGTCTTTGGCTGCCAGATCCATTTAGGAGGTGGTATTGGTGTATGAGTGTGTGTGGTGGTATTTTGTTTTTTCTTTCTTTCTTTTTTTTCTTTCTTCCTTTTTTCTCCATCCCCCCCACCTCCTTTTTTCCCTTCTCTCCTAGGGGCTACACAATGGCAGACTTCTCTCGCTAAGATGAATCCGGCTTGCCTTCTGCAGATCCGCCCATCCTCAGTTCCATTGAGTAAAAGGCTATGATTTTCTCTTTGGGGATCTTTTGTGCATTACTATTCTTCCTGATTAGTTCTGGTCTCGGTTGGGATTTCTTTGCTTTTTTTGGTTTGGCTTCATGTGAAAAAGGATTTTTTCTCTCCAACCCTTTGGTCATGATCCAGTGGTGATCAAGAGGGGATAAATCATTCACCCTGGCCGAGAAAAAACAATCGCTGAGAAGTCTCAAAGAGATATACCACGTGAGGGGAAAAAACTGGGAGAAGATCCGGAATATTAACGTTTTTCCTATGGTAAAACCGGTGCCCCTCTTCAGGAGAACTGATTTCAAGTTATTATTATGCAACCACAAGGGCCTCTTCTTTCTCAGGGTGTCTAAGCTGCTGGGTTGCTTTTCGCCCAAATCAATGTGGTTTCTTTGGAACATTTTCAGCAAAGGAACGCATATGCTGCAGTGTCTTTGTGGCAAGAGTCTTAAGAAAAACAAGAACCCAACTGGTAAGCAAAGCATGCATCATATTCTGTTTTTCCTCGTAATACCCTGTCTGTTGCTCAACGAGCTAGGTCTGCAGTTTTGCTATGCAGGCCAGGGAACATGCAAGGAACCCGGACAGTGTTGCATACAGAGGTGTTGCATGAATAAACAAGTAGCCACCGCCGGATCTGCGTCCTCCCGACCCGAAAACCCTGATCAACAGCTCTTAGCTGTGACACGATCCATCGCTAGGAGGGAGGAGGAAACTTTTTTAGAATCCCCCCACTAAATGGATTTGGTCTCCCATGTCTGGTGGAATATTGCAGGGCTTATGGCTGTGCCAGGAGAAAGAGCGGAGAGCTTGCCTTACTTCTGCTCCTCCGGGGACGTAGCTTTAGACTTTCTGATTAGCTTGCACAATATTCGCCACCCCATCACCTTTAGCAAAGTAAAAGCGCCCCCTCCCTCATGACCTGGCTCGTCCGTCAGCCCCCGCCTCCCTCCCCCGGTTAGCTCTGGGTGTTATTAACTCATTCGCTAGTCTGCCTCTGACACATCCAGCCTGCGAACAGTGAACACTGGGGCAGGGCTTGTGCCTGGGGGAACCAGGACCCAGAGGACAAGCCCAGTACCTCTAGTATATGCCATTTAAGTCCCTTCCCCTTTTAAAAACCCGCTTGTGGGTCCCAAAATGACGAGCGGGTCCCTGACTTATGCCTCCTGGAGATCATGCGCCTAGATTTCAAAGGACTCCAACAAGGGAAACTTGCAGTATATTACATAAGAAATGCAAATGCAGGTGATTTGGGGAGTCGGTCCCATGGGTTTACTTCCCTGTGTCTAGTATGAGGCGTTTGGGACTAACGGAGTTGTGGGCGAGTAACCCTCAGGCAGCCAGGCTCGGAGGACTGCCTGGTGGTGGCAGCTGTCTCAAAGGAGACTACTGGGTGCAGTCTTTTCTCCAATCAGTCCTGATGTCCACAAGGAGTGTGAGGCATCCTTGGCTGGCATTGTGTAGGAAGAGTCCTGGA